TCATCTGCTGCATGAGAAATTCAGAATGCACCAAGAGAAATTTTCAGCGTCACGGTGATCCTTAGAGACGAAAAAAGATCACGGTGATCTCAGCGATCAAGGGATACGATTATGCTTTTGCGTTTCTCACCTACGCCTAGCCTCTAACTATTTGAACGTAATTTTATTTCACGATGGGAGTTTTTGTCACGAGTGAATGAGCACAACAAGCAACCCTGAAACTGACGATGAGTGCAGACGTTGTTTTTATTATGAATATCCATAAGTACGTAAATAATGAGCGGTCTACGCCGTAAGAATCCTATCGCTTATTTCTTACATTTTGGTGGTGAAACACAATCAAACCAATTACCTGATTCTCGTATTCACCACCTTTGGCTGCCCTCACATACGCTTTCGCAACATCGTATTTCTCCCACATTTTCTTATCCTTCTGATATAGTTGATAATTTCTGTTCACCCATTTATTAGCAATTTCGAACGCCTTTTGTTGCATTCTTAAGCAATCATCATTGTTAGTTGCAGATGCTAAGAAAATAACAGTAGATGAATGCGAAATTGAACAGTTTGTATTAGATCGATGCTGAAGATCAGTATAAAATTGTTGAAAAATATGACCAATTTATATTTTTTAATCAAAAGGTAATGATGATTCGAGACAAACTGAACGAACATCGGATGATTGGATTTACGAAGCCCTTCAATGATCATATGATTGATTGGTGCCCAGCCGTTTGGATAATCCCACTGTTGATTTGTTCCTTTCATCAAACTGAAAGTTTGAGGTGAAGAAAGAAGCATTCTTTTTGTTCTGTTCAATGGGTGAACCTGCACATATTTATCCTGTTCATTCAGTATATGGATGAACAAGTCTAAAATATGGGTGTTTCTGTATCACTGCCGGCAAAGCACTGAACAATGTAGTGGGTGTTGTGTCAACAGCCTGAGGAAGTTGTCAAGTTATAAGCCGAAGCCTGTAGCGGGGATTCGAACGGAGAAGGACCCTTGGATTTTCCCAACGGAAACGTAAACTGGAACACACTGGATGTCCCCTATGATTTACTTTCTAAACTATCGTACTCTATTGGGTTTAGTGGAATAATATGACAACAATAATTCTCACCTTGTAGGCACTCCACCAGGAAACTGTAATAAACCCTTGCGTTGCAGCGTTTCCAGTACATCCACCATCATATGATTGTTCAGCGTGCTGTAGCATTCTGTGAATAACGGTACCGCCAACGAGGGATACGCGTCATCGTCTCGATCCCCAGTTCGAATGTTCAAATCGAACCATGCTCCCTCTCGATCGTCAAAGAATACCGCTTCGAAAGTGTCTACAAATTTACTTCGTTCACGATTCAGTTCATCACGACGTTCCACATTACCTGAAAGTAAAACAGCATCTGACTGAGTTAGTTCAGTGTAATCCACGACCGTTCACAACGCCAACAACAAATTGCATGTTAAAAAGCTGATAAGCATGATAGTAGTGATAGATCAAATCACTATTGATCATCATCAAATCACTATAGTCCACTGTGACTATCCAATCGGATCACTATCACTACATCACTATAAACAGATCACTATTCTTTAAGATTCAAATAAGAATGCAGAAAGGATCCGCAAACTAAGTAAGATTTAATTACATTTCAAGAAATAATTCGGCCTTTGATCAAAAATTATGTGTAAATGAAAAATACTGGTCAATTTCAATCGAGAGTGAGGTGCAAGGTTAGTTGGAAATAGGATAACGCAATTGGAACGAATACGTTGTGATATTCCTCAGACTTTCATAATATTAGGTAGATTATTGAAACACTGACCATCGAATACTATTAGATTTAAGAGCATATATGAAGCGTATGTATACGCAGAAACAGTTTGAAAATCATACCAAGTGCTCCATTTAAGTGTGCTAAGATT